CAGGGAGCAGGGGCTGCGCCAGGGGGGCAAATCAAGGAGCGGGGGCTGTGTGGGGAGCTCTACAAGGAGGCCCCAGAACCCCCTGCTATAGCCAGTGAGTGCAGGGGTTTTTGTTTTTCAAGTGCCAGGAGGGGGATGGGGCTGGGCAGGGCAGCCACGGTGGTTCTCCTGCAGCTCCTCTGGCTGTGCTCAGCATGCACTGTGCCAAGTACACTCAGGTGCTGGCACTGGCCCTAACCGGCAGCATACTGTTATCCCTCACGCAGATACGGTGGCCTTTGCCACCTGGGAGGGCTGCGAGGCTATGCCAGACTCCACCCAGGAGGCGTGGGCCCCTGGATCTGTGCACAGGATGACAGCAGGCTGCTGTCCCTCCCCCAGACCACTGGGATTGGAAGGGACCTCAGGGACAGCTCGCAGACGCTGGCCAGCTACAGATGTCAATATCAGAGCAGTCCTTCCACCCCTCTTCCCCCTCCCTCCTCTTAGTTTCCGTTTCCCCACAAGCCTGGCTCCAAAACATACAAAACATCTCAGATGGTTTTGTTTAGTTTCTGATTCGATGTTTTGGGTGCTAAAATGGGCTGAAACACCTCTGAAATGAAACAGCTGCTGAAATTTTGCACAGCCCTAGTAAAAGCATTCCAGTGAAACATAACATACTCCCCCACTTAAGGAAGGAGAAGAGAGTTATTATTAGTCAAAATGTTGTGACCTGACCTTCAGAAGAAGAGTTGATTTTTGCCACCAAAACAATGGTGAAAGCTGATTCTGATCATCTATTTGTTTGACTCAGCAATTAAGAAAATACTGATTCTTTATTTACTTTCTTGCATAAAGTTAATCATTCCATTCATATCTATTTTGCTGTTGCCAACTTCTTTAGCTACAAGAATTGCTTTCCTCCATAACTAATACTAGATTTCAATGGACAAGCAAACTTTGCATGTACTTATTTTCTCTGATTTTTAGCAAAACATTTCTTCAAATGTGATAGGTATAAGAAACGTATCGTACCAACGTTCTCAAAAATGAATAGTCTTCTAGACTAAATCCACATTTTTAAAAAATGCATGGCAATTCAACTAGTCATTACCTTCCATTATCATGTTTTCTTTTGTTGTTTGACTGATAAATTCAATGCATTAAGCACATAAAAGAATTAAACAGCATAAATGGATGTCACGCTAGTGTTATGTATATCTTTCCATACTCCCCAGTAATTATCTTATAGTAACTAGCACATAAGATATATTGAAGAATCATATATTCTGCCAGATTATAGCCTATTTTATACCAGAATTTAAATTCTCAATGCTACAGACCAAGCATGAACAAGTGAAAAAAAGAAGAGTTCTGTACTGCTCTCTCTCAATGCCATTAACAGCTGATATCAGATATGACTTTGGCCAGCTCAACTGCTTTCTTGCTCTCACAATGGGGAATCCCGATTGCTGATTGTGGGCAATGGTGACCAGTGCTATGAGCATACCATTCAGGTAAAATAAACGAGTACATTGGTCAAAACGTAATTCACCTATGACCACAGAGTAATGTTCTTTTGAGACAGCAGAACACTCATTTTGAAGGACTCCTATGAAGGATATAAGACCTTAAGAGCTCTGACAGTAAAGACTGGCTGAATCCTTCCGATTTGTACTGCTATTTTGCATAAACTTCTTATAATCCAAAAAAGAAAGTAAAAAAACAAACAAACTTAGCACAACAGTAAGTTTAAATAGGATTCTTTTATGGAAATTTATCAAAAGATTATTTTCCTTTTAGCAGAGGAAAAGTTAATTTGGACCGCAAAATTAAACTAACATTCTTATAGCTTGTAAATCCTGTTTCCAGCTATATCTACTCAGTTATGATCAACCTTTAATACTAGATGAAAAGATAGAAGAACATTTTGTATATACCAAAATGGCAGACAAACAGTTAGTATTAAGAAGTCAGCACATTCAAAAAATAGTCACCGATATTTGCATATACAACATGTTCATTTTAAAGAAGTGAACATCTTAAAGAAATGTTTTGTAAAGTTGAACCAGAAGGCATTCATAAGCCATCCCTCCACAAATTATTCTGAAGCTGTAAAAATGTTTGCTTAGTCTTTCAATGAAGCAGATTCACCTTACTGAAACCAAAAAAAAAAAAAAAATACGCTACTGTTCACTCTGAATATGAAATACATGTTTCTACTCCATTCCTGATGTAGTGCTAACTTTTTAGATAGTTCCACTTAAAATTCCAGCTGTTCAAACCAACAAGAATTCCACTTTAATAAGGCTCCTCTGAAAAATTGATGAGTATTAATTTTAAGTTAAAAAAAATTAAAAAATTATAACTTGGAATTTAGGGGACTTTGAAATAATAAGTAATTCCTTGTCTTTAAGTTCAATGCCACTGATTTTCAATTTTAGAAACAAGCTTAACAGGACCTTTTATATTCTAACTCATATACATAGCACAGTAGATACCTTTATATTTACGCCCAATATCTGCATATCAAAAAGGTTGAATTTCATCTGCAAAAATAATTTTTGATAGAAATTTTAAAATTCAGACTTCAATTACGTTTTATCCCTCTCTTCCTTTGAAAGATTCTCTAGTGGTATGTAAAGGCCAATTGCTTAGGTTGGTGCTGTCCAATTCCCAGCCCAGGGGCTGCATGTAGGCATCCAGCTGCCAACCAAGAAGGGGCTAATGCATTGCCCTGAAGCTTCCAGCCTAGATCTATCACTCTTCTCCTGCTGGAGCCCCCAGGCATCTCTCCATCTTACAGCTTCAGCTTCCTGTCCCCACCACAAGAAGCAAGGTAGTGCAGCCCTGGGACTTAGGGGCCCAGTGCGCCTTTGCAGAATAGCACAGCATGGGGGGGGCCATGCCACAGTGTGTGTGGGGGTGGGGGAGGAAGGGAGGGAGGAAGGACGAGGAATGGCCATACTGCATGGCATGTGGCTTCTGATCATTCAGGAATTGGACAGCCCTGGCATAAGGGAAGAAAAGTTGTCAGAATATTTATAACTCTGCAATAAGATGCGTTTTCTAGAGCCAGTGAACCACCACCTATCACCCTTTCTTGAATCCAACCTGATTTGTCATTGAAAACACTTAGCTGTTGAGTCAACTCTTATTGAAAACAGGGCAAACGACTGTTCAGCAGAAGATACTTTACATGTTAGTTTTGTATTTAATTTATACCAGCAACAGAAATGCAATTTTTTTTTTTCCCCAAGCGAAGAGCCTTTAGAGAAATCATATATGTTACATACCCCTTGCTCATCCAGTTTAAGCAGTTGTTCAGGGACTTTCGGTGAGTTGGAAGCCTGCCTCAGGCACTGAATACTCAGCTCTGGTATTACATATTCTAGTACCTCTTTAAGAGGCAGGCCCCGTGCTGTGCCATGTCTGGCAGTGGATGGTATGGCATCTTCTAAAATTGCCCCTCTTAAGGTAGTAAGCTGCAGCAGGAATGAAAAACTACAGTGAATATTTATCATTCTAATATTATGCTGACAACCAAAAATACAGCCTTCAGGTTCTGAAGGGAGAGAATGCATGCCTATCCTTAGCTTACTATGGAAAGTGTAAAAGTTAGTAAAGTAACTTAAAAGCTAAAGATGAAACAGACTGTTGCAGTTTTTAAACAAAAGCATTCAACACAAAGTAAAACAGAAGTATGCAGAAGTACAGAAAAATAGAAAATATATGTTCATAGCCAGTCCTCCATTCTTTAGCACCCATGGCTATATATTTTCTCCATTTTTTTTCTAATGGTTCTGTTATGTCTGTGTTAATGGTTCTGATCATTATGTCACAGTAAAATCTTAGTGGAGACAAGGCCTTATATTTTTAGTGTGAGGCACCAACTAGGAGCAAAGGGTAATAGTTTTGATTCAAATAATTTAATTTTCATGGTAGAAACTATGGTACTTTGTCTCCACTAGGATTTTACAGCTATAAAATCACATATGTAAATTATCTAGTAGGGGCAAGAAAAAAAAGCACTTCACATAAATGCCAATGAATGGGTGTGGGAAAGGCACCCAACTATCTATATTCAATGGGAATGCAATTGCATCGATCAGGAGCTCTGGCCAATAAGACTACACGTGTTTTAACCATGATGAAGAATACAGGTTTCAGGAATTGGGGAAAAGTTTGCAATTCCTTATCACAAAGGGCAAAGGTAATGCCTTATGTTTTCTTTCAAGTCACCAGTAAACGTAAGATTCACATAGCTAATGACTGTAACAAAGGAATGAAGACACCAACTTGGAGAAGACACAAACTAGCATGAATATGAAAGTTTTGATCAGGTGTGATAGGTGTTCTTCTGACAGTAAAAAGGTCACTTCTACTCCAGACAGGATTGCCATTTCTCCTTTACAACAGAATTAATATTCGTTTCTTCTACGAATACATAGAAGCAGAGGTTTGGCAGTTGGAAAAGTTACTCCAGACAGAAATTATAGTATACCACTTTTGAAGAGAGAATTTTATCAATCATTTTGAAGGCACACAGATGTAAATTATGTTCATCCCTGCCTTTTCCCCCTAAGGGAGCATCCACATGAGCACACGCATGCCTCTTGCAGCATCTCAAGCCCCTTTGAGACACTGCAAGATGCGCATGGGGGAACAAGAAAACGTTCTTCACACTACACGTTTGCAGCGCAGGGGCAAAGTTTGACACCTGGATATCCAGGTATCTAAAAATTGTGCCATGAAACAGCAGGGCAATGCACAGTTCAAGACCATGCCCAGAGGCAACCCAAGAGTCGGTCCTCCAGGAGAGACACTCTGGTTTCTTGCCAGAGCATCTCTGTTGTGCTCCTGCTACCCCTGGCACTGTCAAGGGTAAGTTAGGAGCGTGGGGGGGGGTTCATGGGTGTGGGTGGGTGTGAGGAGTAGCAGGGGGATGTTGGAGGCTATGGCGAGTGGTGGGGGGGATGTCCCGTATGTGGGTGGGGGTCGTGAAGGGGCTTGAGTGGAAGCTGCCACACGCCTGCCCCTGTGGCAGCAGGCAGAATGGCTGAGGCTCTGCTACAGGCACAGCTGGCAGTGAAGCCTGCCTCCCTTCCTTTCTCTTGTTCTAATTGTGGAAAACCATGGATTTTGGTGTATTTTAAAAAAATGCATCTGGGATGCTGCTGCAGCAGTCCAGCTGGCATAAGGGGTAGTGTCCCCAGATACCAACTGGCTAGGCCCCAGAAGCTCCTGTCTATTTCTAACACTCATACCGTGGGCTAATACCTTGTAGGGCTAATGAGCGAGTGGTATAACTAAATTCTTGGTACAACTAATGAAAAAACAGGATAGGACTGTCATGTGGGTCAAGGGGTCAAAACGTGAAAATAAGCGTGCCTGAGGCAGACACTGAGCAGTCTCCTGGGCTGCACCCACCGGTCCTCAAAGGCATCCAAGGAGCTGGTGGACACCACCCACTGGTGCTCTGCCCAGAAACGGACATGGACAAGTGAAAGGAAAGCAGCCCCACAGTCTCTGGGCACCTTGCCAGCCAAGAGCCTCCTTCCTGGCCAAGTACAGGGTCCACTTGGCCAGGGCCAGGAGGAGGTTTACCAGGACCCCAGAAGCTCCTGAGAGCAAGTAGTCCTGAGCTGCTTGCCAGGGCAGCTTTTTATATTGCCAGGCTCTAGCTCCCCCTGACTGCAGATGCAGGAGAAGCCAGGCAGGCTTATTTTGCCTCAAGTGGCACAATTTGCCCCACATCAAAATGCATGTCCAGGCACATGCACTAAGGCAGAAAGCCCCGGCTCAAATTTGCGCTGCTTCTATTTGAGCTACTGCAAGTGCTCATGCCTGCATGTGTGGGCACACCCCAAGTCTCTCTTCCTGCCACAAGAAACCTGTTCTTAAGAATCCAAACTTAATATCCCATGCCTACTACATACCCTATATGTGCTTCCCATTTGCTCCCCCAAAAAACTATGGTTTTATTGTGCTATTTTTGTTTTAAATGAATTGGGTTCTGTTAATGTTGCATGCCTCCATCTCCTTAACTTGTACAGGGGAGAAAAAAAAGGGCTGAGACACAAGTTAGAGTTGCCTGGCCTATATGACAGAAGAAACATCTAGCCAGCAAGGGACAGAAGAACCTTGTTGACACTTGAAAAAAAGCAGGATTGGAAGCGACACCCAGGAAGCATCCAGGGAAGAGAGGGAAATAAGCATCACAACACAGCAGCAGTCTATGAAGTAGGGTGTCAGCCTGGGAGTTGGAGAGTCTGAAGCAAAGAAACAGTTGGGTTACACTGAGATACTCCATCTCTGCAGACTGGAGAGAGAATATCTGAGTATTATAACTTTGGGCTGCTCACAGCTGTGCAGGGTGAACAGCAGATAGAGAACTGCTCAACCCTTTGGAGGGGGCAGGATCTTCTTGATGGGTGACCTTTGCCTCAAAAGCCGTCTTTATTGCAGAAGCATTGTCTGCTTTGATGCTTGGAACTTGGGGTGTACTCTTTCCACTCTGGGACCAATGAAGTACCCATCTCAGGAGCTGAACTGGAAGGCAGCTGTCTGGAGAATGGCCACAGATATCCAGGGGTAGGCTGAATGGCTAGGCTCTCAGAGTTGGAAGGAGTCGGGAATGACTCCTGCTCCAGAGGTCACACATGGACTGGTTACACGGGTACTTAGAGAGACTGGACAAGGCCAGAGGTCTCAAGCAAGTACTCCTTTGAAGGAAGTCAGTCACACTCCCTTCCTGGTTTATGTGGAAATATAACTCAAACGAATACAACTCTGCCTTCACCTCTCCCAACAAAAAAAGGAAAAGACATCCTAAAGCAGGAAAGCAAGGACATTTTTCTATAGGCCTCAGCACTAATGTGTGTTAATGATATCAGAAGCCCCTCCCTCGCTAGTGGATTAAATCTAAAATTTGAACACCTTTTAAAAAGTCAATTTCCAGAGGCCTATGAATGAGAAATGGCCAGGTTTTAAAGTTTCATAACACTTTTCCCTCTCCCCTCAGGACTCAAAAGACAGTACCTCGCTTGTCCTGAAAACTACGCGATAGTTGAATTGAGAACCTTCTTTCTCCTTAGGATCTTCAACCTTCTCTCTCCGGATGCTGACTGCTACAGGTCCTAAACTTTCATCTATTCCGAAGTAGTTTTGATGCTCTGTAGCAGGAAAAAAAATTAATGAATGAAAGAAATGAAGATCATGATGAAACAGTAAATAGTTAACTGAAGACTTATTCACCAAGTCTCATAAAAGAAAGTCCGCAGCAATAAACAGAGACAACCAATGTGGTATTATGTGCCACACAAAATCGAATTTTCTAGTTGAGATTAGAGATGTGCAAGCATCAAAATGTGACAGTGCAAATTCCCTACAGACAACCAAATCATGCCCTTGTTCTATGAGTAGCCAAACATCACAGGTCTCTCAATTACCGCACTATGCTGCCTTTAGCATTTTAATAGAAAACCATTTTTAAAATGTGGTAACATGGTTTACCACTGAGTCACATTTTATGCTTGAAACAGTGTAACAAAAATTAACATGGAGAATTCACTACAGTAAGTGCAAACAAAACTGACATTCTACAGCAGCATTTGTAAAATAAGTCTCATTTTGCCAAGCTATAATTACTATAATAGTGCCAGATTGTTTTTATTATTTTTATTATTATTGGAAGTGATGTAATAAATTAATCTAGATCAAACTAATGAATGACATGTGCAAACTGAAAATTTTGTACTTTTTGAAAAGAACGTATTCTTATTTCCAGGCTAATTTACAAAACACTCTTTTTTTTTGTATGAAGACAAGCAGATGGAAAAGATTTAGATGATCCTGCAATTATTCAACAGGAGTCAGATTTTATTCTCCGTCTCAGGCTTCCTCAACAACTCGCCCTCAGTCACAATATCTCTGTCTTATGGTTTTCCCATCTTGTAAACACAGACAATACTCACCCCAACAGGATGGTCGGAGGCTTTATCTATAAAATGTTCACAAAGCATATAAGAATCTTGAAACAAAGATGCTGCTTCAGTACAGTACAGTCATTATCTGAAGGCCCTATCTCACAGATCATATTACGACGTTTATGATGCAATATAATGATTGCATTATGTCTACATGACTTTTAAAACAAGAAAGCTGGTGGGATTCCTTTTGGTCTACAAACAACTACTTTTTGATCTCATATACGGACTGCTTGCTAAGAATATTGTTATGATTCTGAGGAGTGATCTGAATTTGTGCCATTTTTACAATATGATTTCAATGCGAGCCAATATGTACATGATGATAACTTTTAATCACAACTGGCTGAAGGTTACTTTTGTTCAACAATTATATTTCTCCTGCATTTATTATGATGGGATACTAATTTGGAAAAAGAATTAAGCCAAATTATTTAAATGACTTCAAACAAATGAGATATGCTTAAGTTCTATTTAAGTTAGTCTTATTCATCTTATCTATTAATATGTAGTGTAGTGACTCATCGTTGACACCACCATACAAACCCAAGTATAGGATTGGAAGCGGTCTCCTGGGGCTTTGAATCTAGTCCCCTATGTCCGCAGGCAGTTGTTAACCCAAGGAAAACCCAAAATCACCACTTCACATCCTTACCTACCATTATCAGGCATAACAGCCAAAACATCCAGAACACCCTGTAATATTTCCCTGGGCAGAGTGAACAAGGACATTACCAAAGCCATGTTATTGCAAGGAGGAAACAGTTAGTTAACATATACTTAAAAAATCCTAGGAAAAAGATCATGCTCCATGCTACAGAGGCAGGCAAAACCCCACAATGATCCAAGCCAGTTTAACTAAGGGAAATGTCCTTCCTGACCCCAAATTTGGCCATTGGTATGGCCCTGGCAAATAGAATTCCCTGTCCTACCATCCCATCTACGAACTGAAATGAATACATTGTTTGGTTTTGTTAAGAGTGGTTATAGCCAGTTCCTTGAATTTTCTTCAGATTTATATTACTGTGTAAAATTCACTTTATTTTCCAGAACTGAAACAATTACAGGTAGAAGCTGCATGACAGGAATGTGCAGACAAGCTGATAGGATGGGATGGAAATGGAGTCAGAACCTTTTACCTCCAGGTGAAAAGTTTAAATACAGTACAAGCTACGCCTGCTTTGTTCTCACCAGACCTGATGAAGAATGTCTTACATGTGAAAGTTTGTCTAACTACCCCAACTACAGAGTTTGTCCAATAAAAGTGATCACCCAAAGAGAGAGGTAGGCAAGTATTTTAGATGGAAGACAGCTTAATGAGTTTTGGTGAGCTGTCGAGGGCTGCAACAGTAGCTCCTCCCCTTGACAGGTATCCTGCATCCTGGTTTCCATCTCGGGACTGGAAGGCCCACCCCTGTACCCATTACATTTGCCAGCAGAAGCCCCTCCCCTTGCCCCTGGGGGGGTTGACCATCCTAGAATGGGAAAAAATCCAAATCGTATACTAAAAGTCAAACATCTACTATAAATGTATTTTATTTAAAAAATTATTTTGTCCTGATTTCTGTGCATTTGCATAGTGTCTACAGAGGTGATTGCATAACAGCTCAAAAAAAAAGTCTTACTCTTGTATTGTAGCATCATAGAAAATTAGGGTTGGAAGGGACCTCAGGAGGTCATCTGCTCAAAGCAAGACTAGCCCCAACTAAATCATCCCAGCCAAAGCTTTGTTCATCCTGGTCTTAAAAACCTCCAAGGATGGAGCTTCCACCACCTCTCTGGGTAACCTGTTCCAGTGTTTTACTACTCTTCCTTTTGAAAATCTTGGCCAGAAAGACACTTTTCAGGAAAGCAAACACACAAACAAACACACAAACAAACACACAACCTCATCCCAGAACCAATGTGAAGTTTCTAAAGCATATCATTTCGTAGATGTTAACAAAAAAAAAGTGAGAAAATTCTTCCTACTATCAAAACTAAACTTCCCTTTCTGCAACTTGAGATCATTACTCCTTGTTCTGTCATCTGCCACCACTGAGAACAGTATAGCTCCATCCTATTTCAAACCCCTCTTCAGATAGTTGAAGGCTGCTATTAAATCTACTCAGTTTTCTCTTCTCTAGACTAGGTATGCCCAGTTCCTCATAAGTCATGTGTCCCAGCTCCCAAACCATTTTTGTTGCCCTCTGCTGGACCCTCTCCAATGTATCTGAATCCTTGCTGTAGTGGGGGGCTCAAACAGTACTGCAGATGTGGCCTCACTAGTGCTGAATAGATGGGAAATAATCACTTCCCTTGACCTGCTGGCAACACACCTACCAATGCAGCCCAGTATGCCATTAGCCTTCTTGGCAACAAGGACATACTGCTGGATCATAGTCTGGTCAAGGTCTTTAAAAGGATATTTTCCACCCACATTATAAGCTACAATTATCAAAAACCAGGAGATTAATTTTAGTCTAAAGTCTATTTTTAACTTCCAAAGTGAACTAATTTGCATAAGTGCTGCATACTCAGCAGCTCTCGTAAAACAAAAACGGAATTGATGGGCACTTATAAAAAGTTAGCTGACTTTTTTCTTTTTTTTTTTTTTTTTTTTTTTAAAGGTACTTAAACAAAGATTTATGGAGCTAAATTTAGGCATTTCCTTTTGAAAATCTTGACTAGAAAGACACTTTTCAGGAAAGCAAACAAACAAAAAACCTCATCCCAGAACCAATGTGAAGTTTCTAAAGTATATAATGTTGGAGATGTGAACAAAAAAAGTTAGGTTGGAAAAACAGAGAAATAAGATAGAATAAGTTACTTCTGTTAGAACAGATGAAACACTGGGGAGAAGATAAATCACAACAGGAGAGAGAGAGGAAAAGGTGCCAACTTTATGTTGGCTTCTGTCAATTTGTTAGAAATAAGCAGCCTATCATTTAAAAATTTCTGCCTTAAGAAAAGATGCCAGCAAGTATTGATCAACTTCCTCAATCTAATTCCAATGTAGCACGTGTTTTCTCCAAGGTAGGAGACAAAGGGCCCTGGCAGACATTACACTCAAGTCATAATTAACCAGTTAACTGCATCTTAAACAGTAATCCAGCCAAACATTCATTCAATTAATGGTGCGATAAAACAGGAAACAAACCACAAAATTATTCCACAAAGTGTGTGCAATAATTTTGTAGCTAGTTTCCACTGCACCTTAAATTGAATGTGTGGCTGGATCCCCACCATGAAGACTGATGCCAGCTGCATGCTGGAGCTTAGTTGACAGCTCCTCACAGATCAACAGGTTGACAGCCCTTTGGTGCAGGGCCTTCAGCCTGTTTTCAGGGTAAATCAGCTGAGCTAGGGGTACCAGGCTGCAGGAAACTATAGGGCTCCTCATGACCTGGCAGGTTGCTCTGCAGCTTCAGGGCAAGGCAGTCAAAGTAACTCAACACATCCTGGCCACAAGGAACCTAGGATGGGGAGAGGTTACCTGACCCTGGGGTCCCTGTGCACCAGGACCTTAAAAAAACAAAACAAAAAGTGCAGCTCAGTGCACAGGCCTCTCAAAGCCAGCTGGAGATTGGTACGGTCCAAGGCCAACAATCAGCCTACTGTTGGTCCCAGCCCCAGGACTGCACCAGTTCATCAGGCACCCAGCTTTCAATTTACCAGTGCAGGGGGAGCCTGGGATTATGCAACTATGGCACATTTGGGACCTGATCCCCAATCCCAAAAATTACACATCCTGCAGGTCATGCATGTGTGGCATAGGAGGCGGCATGATTGTTGGGATCAGGGAACAGATTCCATCATGCCATTAGAAGAAAAAGCATCAGGGGCTGGAGAAACAAACCTAAAATTCAAATAAATACCTTAATTTTAGTTGAATCAAAAGGTAGTAGGGGAAGATGATTTCAAAAAAAGAAATCCCAGGAGTAAGGAATGTATCCAAAAAATTAAGTGATGCTGCTTCTCTCCTACCTTTTGGGAAAGCAGTATCTAATGGAAGAGAACTAATCAAAGTGTTTTAAAATACAAAGCATTAAATACAAAGTTTTTTCCCCCCCTACTGAAAAGAAGTAGCTAAACACTCTCCCCCCCCAACCATTTCTTCATGAGTGACTGGTGCCTCCTGAATCTAGGGGGGCAACTGCAGAAGCTGCCAATGGCGGCGGCCTTGTCGGGGGGGCACTAGCCCTACC